GGTGAATTTTCTCTTCAGCATGAATTCCTCTCTTACATGAACTAGAAGTCTGAGAACCATCCAGAACCTATGTCTCTGGAGACCTACCTATTTGTAGGAGTTCACCTCTGGTTTAAAATAATCAGTATCCTGGAAGACCTGGGTTTAAAATGGCCTCAGTCTCTTACCAACTGCATAAACTTGGGAAAATCACTTACCCTTACTGAGCCTCATTTTCTTCATCTACAAAAAAATACTAAATATCTCTTTTTACATTGTCATTGTCAGTACTAAATGAATTTACGTACTAAATGAAAGAGTATTTTTTTTCATGGCAAGACAATGAGAAACAATGATATGACAGCACATGTGCCAAATGCAATACATGTGTTGCTCCCATTTATGTCACAAGCTACTTTAATGACCTTGAGAGAATACTGTCACCTCTCTGCCACTTTCATACAAGTATAGAAAGAAAATAATAGAATGCATTTCATTTATCACATTGCTCTAACACTCTGATAACTCATTCTCAAAATATCAACACTGCCCCAAGCTCCAGGGTATCAGGGACTTTTGCTTGTTTTCTTCACTTACTATCTTCACTACCGTAACCTTGGTTATAGTAGGCACTGACTCTTCTTCACTACTATAACTAACTACCAAAACTAGGCACAAACTAAGTAAGGCACACTCTTAGAAGAGTTCAAGCCACAAACTAAGTGTCCAATATATATCTGTTGAATGAACGAATGCAGCAAGTTTGCATGAAAGCAAACTTTGCTGTAACATAGTACTCCTAGATATATACAGAAAAAAAAAAAAGGAAGGAGGCTTCAAGTTATTACCATGAGGCAGAAGACACTCACACATACACCCACTGTCTACCTCATACATTGTAGCTACAAAGCACATGCTGAAGCCCAAATTCAAATGATGTGCCGTAACTGAGGTGAAGTACTCAAACAAAAACTAGGAAGAAACAGTCTCAGCATGTAACACAAGAGAAGTTTTTTAAAGTCCCTCCTAAAACAGAAGAAAAAACCGATGCTTGTGCAGTATTAAAAAATGACTCCATGATAATGCCAACATTGCAGACCAACAACTTAAATGACCGAAGAGCAGCAGGTAGAAATTGAGTCAGATAGGAGATTTTGCTTACTCTCTTCCAATTGCAGCCTTTACTCAGCTTTGGGCTGTTGAGGTCATAGAAAGCTGCTAGCTCTGGCTTTCTGAAACTTCCAACTAAACAGAGAAGCTGGAAATTCAGACTTTATATGAAATCTCCCAATCTTTAAATGCTGACAATGAATTCATACAGATATAGTCAAAAAACTAACAAAGAAACACAAAAACATGATTGACTGATGGATCTTTTAATATGAGGAGAACAGAAATGCAGCAGAAGATCAAAGAAAGGATGTTTACTGGGTGCCAACACTGTGCCCAGTTCTACCCTCAGTCCCACTTATTTAATCTTCATGCAAAACTACATCTCAGTAATGTATGTCCCATTTCATAAATTAACAAACAAACAGTTATCCTTCTAATAAATATTTATTGAAGTTCTATTATATGCCAGGAACTGAGCCTAGTTTTAGAAACACTGTACAGTGGTAAATATGAGATTGCCATAAGAAATCTAAAAGCTTAAAAGCAAAGAAAAAGTATGACAGGTGCAATGACTGTTTCTAAGAGGTGTATGGAATGTGTGCCTGACTACAAGGGATGAATAGGGTTTCTCTAAGTTACTTGCCCAATTCTTAGGCCTAGATTTAGGGTACTATTTTTATCGGTCTAAGAAATAAAATAATAAAACATTCATTCTTAAGGCCTGAGGTTCAGGAAATGTTCTGAAAAAAAGAATATTCTTCTCTACTTAATACAGTAAAGGCTTTCAGACTGGGGGAGCTCTAAGTCAGACAAGTCAAGACAGCCTTACAAGAGCATCCTTTCGTGGAGTTATCAGGTTATATATAATGACAATCCTCTGAGATCAAGTCTTTGAAGAGTCTCCTACCTGACTCTGCCCACCCTAGTGCCTGCCAGACTGCTGTTTTTCACCCTGACAACAGATTTTTGGTTTTGTCCAAGGCTACACTAAAGAGCTGGAGTGGCAGAAAAGGACACAGGGCACCTTGAAATGCCACAAACTTGTTGTTCTAACAAGATTTAGTCCTTTTTTTTGACTAAATGTTCCCTGGATTGCTCCAAGATTTTGGTTAATTTCCAGAGTTCTGAAAAGTTGATTCTTGTAATATTTTCCACTTTTCTCATGGCTTTCATGGAAGAGAAAATTTTCAGATGTCCCTATTCCAAAATTTTTGCTGATATCACACCAGTGATCTACATTTCACTTAGAGTTAGATTTCTTATCTAATCCTAAATGACTCAGCCTAATAACAATATATAAGAAGTATATATATACTTTCTTCATTTTGCATGTGGGTGACATAGCATCAATATAACACCTGAATTCCACATGCATTCCTCATACTCGGATAAGTGCACATTCCCTAAGTTTCTCTAGTTTAACTTCTTTTTCTTCAGTATTAACATCAGGCATTAGCTATGTCAAAAGAAACATCACTCAAAAAATTACAAGAGTTTTGAAAAAATACTCATTTAAAAATCTGAACAAAATTAACACTATACTAACAATTATACAGAAAGTAAAAGAAAGGAGGAAGTTGTTAGAATGACTGGAAATGGCCCATTTTTGATAAAAAGATTATGTTTTTATAAAGGAGTCAATTGTGCTTTACGCAGAAATCACATACAAAATTGAGTAATTTCCCTAAAAATGTCTAGTTACAAGAACAACTACAACATCAGATTTACCCTCAGAGTTACACTCTGTCAAATCTTGTCTGAATAACTTCTGAATGGAAAAAGGAGGAACACAAAACTAAACTCAGAGTGATTCAAAGAGAATATGACGTATTTTCTCACTTTTAAAAAATTAATTTCAACCCAATATGTCAGCCATCTTCTCAGGAAGGGCAATTTAAGATATTTATGAAATAAATCATTTTTGATATGTGAAAAAATGCAGAGTACAAAATATATTTACAGGTTCTCATAGATGGATGTTAGCCAGCCATCTTCCTGTATAGGGGTGGTGAAAGATGAAAGAAAGACAGTAACTCAGAGGTGGTGAGTGAGGGGAAGGATAAAGAAAGAATGGAGAAAGGAAGAGCATAAGAAAGATAAAAGACAGATTAAGAGAATATATATACCTTTATGTTGGCACTGGCTATATCTGAGTAAGACAATTTGTTTTTCATTTGGCTTATCTTCATGTTTCTACTTGTATTACTTTATTTATATTATACCTCTAAATGTAACCATAATATTTACAACCAAAAAGAAATACCAACTTAATGAAAAAAGAGAAAGCACACTGAGATGAGGATATTAACATATAAATTATTATGCATTAGAACAATTAATACTACTTGTCTTATTTCCACAGAAAGAATGTTCTAAGTAAAGGACCAATTAAAACATCTGTATACTCATCAATTAGAAAAAAATTTTAAGTTTTGGTTATTTGGGTTGTTATAACCAGATTTGGAATAATATTAAATTACTTAATTAAATTGAAATTAACCTTCAAAGTCATATGAAGTATTACTAGTGTGCATAATCTTCTAATTAATTGCATATATACACTGTATAATAAAGTTTTAAGCATTCAAATTGTTTAACAATACTTTTCCTTTAAATGGAGGATTGAAAATATTATTTGTTTTTGTCACAAGGTGATTTGATTATTTTTACTTTTCTTTTTTATATATTTTATTTTTTATTATAAAAATTCATGTGTGTTTTATTTTATTTTTTATTTTTATTTTATATTGGACTATAGTTGATTAACAATGTTGTGTTAGTTTCAGGTGTACAGCAAAGTGATTCAATTACACATATACATGTAACTATTCTTTTTTAAATTCTTTTCCCATTTAGGTTATTATAGACTATTGAGCAGAGTTGGTTCAATAATGATGTTGGGTAGTTTTAGCTTGAAAATTAAAAAAATATTTAAATATTAAAGTCATTATATAATAAAAATATTCTATCAAAGTCTAGATTGTTTTCAATATAATAGTCATGCAATACAGTTAATGTTTTCTATGTAATACAAAGATTTTATGTCACAATACTTTACTTATGTTTTCATTTTCCATCTGATAATATGGATGTGTTTTTAATTAAGTACGAGATAATGGAATACTTTTTATATAATCTATGTATTAAGATTCTTAGTACTATAAATATATTAATAGGCATATTGTTAAAAAATGGCTTACCTAATTTTCATCCCAAAGAAGTTATTTTTAATGTACACCATAAAATAATTTAGTAATAAAAAAACAATGGTTGATTATAAAAATCTTCCAATGGAGCATCTTTTCTGAAAGTTCTCAATAGAGAAAAATTCAAGAATTAAAAGAAAACCTTTGAATGATGAATAATCTGAGACATTTTTAATTTCAATTGAATTTAAAGGAATTTCTTATAATATTTTAATTCCCTAATGTAGTAAATTAAACACATAATAAGTTGGTTCCAGTGTTTGATTCAACACTGTCATTGACACATGAACTTTTATTTCCTATTCAATATAAACAAGATAAGGGCAAATTAGCAGCAAATCTTTGCTTTCTTCTTAGCTCTTCTTCTTCTTTTTTTTTTTTTTTTTTAAAGATAAACCAGTTCTAAAAATGTGTTGGTTGCTTCAATCTGAAACTCTCCTGAATGCTGAAGAAACTTCACATTTCTTTACGGAGAAATATTCAGAGAGGAAAATAATATATTTGTTTTTCAGTAATAAAAATCTCTTCCCAATTTGCTTGCTTTTCCCAGTCAAAGCTAATTTGAAGTCTCCTCACTCCCCTTCACACACACCCCTCTTTTCTTAACATCAAATATGTCCAGAGAATTTACAACTATATGATATTTAAGATGATGTCTATTCAAGTAGTTTAAGTTGTAGGGAAAATTTTATAAAGGCTTACCCCATTTTTTGGAAAAGCAATCCATCCCAAGTCCCCCATGACAGTCCGTGAATCCAACAAATTCACTAAAAGAGAAAGAAAACAAAACTGAGTCAAATATACAAAAATATATCACTATTTTCATAGTGTTATTAAAAGCACATATTACATCCATAACTGAAAGTAAATTGAGCATTCATTATGATGAATACAAGCGTTATAATTTGAAGAAAACATTATTAGGATGCAAGAGAATAAGTGATTTTGAATAATTATTTGGAGAAAAATAACAGCAAAAGTACATAAACAAGTTATTACCCTAAGTGCTTTTTTTTTGGTCAAACAGGAATAAAGGAAAAGAATTAATAAGAAAAAGAAAAAAAGGAAAGGTCCGTAGAAAACCATGAGGACCATTGTCTATTTTTTAAAGATGCTGGTTCTTGGGATTAAGCTGCAGCTGTAAAGTTGGGGCTAAATATACTCTATTTTCTTCTGGAAAGCTGTTATAAAGGCAATGAACAAATAATTTACATTAAACAACAATAAACTATTCCCAAGTTTGTAAGATTTTTTTGTGATATTAACCAAAATCCGTAATCCAAATTGCAAATTTAATTAAGAAATAAATCTATACACTCTTAACCAAGCCTAGGAAATGCAGCAGCTCTTAAGGTTGTTGTAATAGCTAAGTGCTCATTGCATTCCCAAAGATACTTTCATTTATATATAACTATAGTCCAAAATGTGTTTTTTACAAAACTGTTAGCTACATTTTGAAAGGCAGAATTCAATTAGGGCTGGGTATCCTAACATATTAGTAACTCCCAAGATGGAAGTCCGAACATCATCATTGCAAAAGAAAGCAATGGAAGAGTATGCACAGGTCCATGCACCAACATTCGCACACTCACAAACTTGCACATACTCACACACAGATACATAGACACTCAGGGAGTTTATATTTCAAAAGGTTCACCTACTGTCCCTCTGAAATTAAAGTAGTTTAAAAGTGTGCTAGGCAGAGAGGCTGACTAAAATCACACTAAGTTCACAGACACCCCCAAACACACCACTGGACGCGGTCCTGCCCACCAGAAAGACAAAATCCAGCCTCATCCACCAGAACACAGGCACCAGTCCCCTCCACCAGGAAGCCTACACAACCTACTGAACCAACCTTACCCAATGGGGGCAGACAAAAAAAACAACAACCTGCGACAAAAACCTGGAGCCTGCGAAAAGGAGACCCCAAACACAGTAAGTTAAGCAAAATAAGACAGAGAAATATGCAGCAGATGAAGGAGCAAGGTAAAAACCCACCAGACCAAACAAATGAAGAGGAAATAGGCAGTCTACCTGAAAAAGAATTCAGAGTAATGATAGTAGAGATGATCCAAAATCTTGGAAATAGAATGGAGAAAATATAAGAAACGTTTAACAAGGACCTAGAAGAACTAAAGAGCAAACAAATAATGATAAACAACACAATAAATGAAATTAAAAACTCTCTAGAAAGAATCAATGGCAGAATAACTGAAGCAGAACAACAGATAAGTGACCCAGAAAATAAAATAGTGGAAATAACTACCAGAGGGCAGAATAAAGAAAAAAGAATGAAAATAATTGAGGACAGTCTCAGAGAACTCAGCAACAATATTAAATGCACCAACATTTGAATTAAAGGGGTCCCAGAAGAAGAAGAGAAAGAGAAAGGGACTGAAAAATATTTGAAAAGATTATATTAGAGAAATATTTGAAGAGATTATTTGAAGAGAAAATGTCCCTGATAGGGGAAAGGAAATAGTCAGTCAAGTCCAGGAAGCGCAGAGAGTCCCATACAGGAGAAATCCAAGGAGAAACATACCAAGACACATATTAATCAAACTAACAAAAATTACATACAAAGAAGAAATATTAAAAGCAACAAGGGAAAAGCAAGAAATAACATATAAGGGAATCCCCATAAGGTTAACAACTTATCTTTCAGAAGAAACTCTGCAAGCCAGAAGGGAGTGGCAGGACACATTTAAAGTGATGAAAGGGAAAAACCTACAACCAAGATTACTCTACCCAGCAAGGATCTCATTCAGATTTGCCGGAGAAGTTAAAAACTTTACAGACAAGCAAAAGTTAAGAGAATTCAGCACCACCAAACCAGCTTTACAGAAAATACCAAAGGAACTTCTCTACGCAGGAAACACAAGACAAGGAAAAGACCTACAATAACAAACACAAAACAATTAAGAAAATGGTAATAGGAAGATATATATCAATAATTGCAAATGGATTAAATTGCAAATGGATTAAATGCTCCAACCAAAGACACAGACTGGCTGAATGGATACAAAAACATGACCTGTATATATGCTGTCTACATGAGACCCACTTCAGACCTAGGGACACAAACAGACTGAAAGTGGGGGGATAAAAAAAAGTATTCCAGGCAAATGGAAATCAAAAGAAAGCTGGAGTAGCAATTCTCATAACAGGCAAAATAGACTTTAAAATAAACACAATTACAAGAGACAAAGAAGGGCACTATATGATGATCAAGGGATCAATCTAAGAAGAAAATATAACAATTGTAAATATTTATGCACCCAACATAGGAGCACCTCAATACATAAGGCAAATGCTAACAGCCATAAAAGGGGAAATCGACAGTGACACAATCATAGTAGGGGACTTCAACACCACAGTTTCACCAATGGACAGATCAACCAAAATGAAAATAAATAAGGAAACACAATATTTAAATGATACATTAAACAAGATGGACTTAATTGATATTTATAGGACATTCCATCCAAAAACAAAAGAATACACTTTCTTCTCAAGTGCTCATGGAACATTCTCCAGGATAGATCATATCTTGGGTCACAAATCAAGCCTTAGTAAATTTAAGAAAATTAAAATCATATGAAGTATCTTTTCCGACCACAATGCTATGAGACTAGATATCAATTACAGGAAAAAATGTGTAAAAATACAAACACATGGAGGTTAAACAATATGCTACTAAGTAACCAAAAGATCACTCAAGGAATCAAAGAGGAACTCAAAACATACCTAGAAACAAATGACAATGAAAACAAAATGGCCCAAAACCTATGGGATGCAGCAAAAGCAGTTGTAAGAGGGAAGTTTACAGCAATACAATCCTACCTCAAGAAACAAGAAAAATCTCAAATAAACAACCTAACCTTATACCTAAAGAAATTAGAGAAAGAAGAAGAAGGAAAAAAAACCCAAAGTTAGCAGAAGGAAAGAAATCATAAAGAATAGATCAGAAAATAATGAAAAGGAAATGGAGGAAACAATAGCAAAGATCAATAAAACTAAAAGCTGGTTCTTTGAGAAGATAAACAAAATTGATAAACCATTAGCCAGACTCACACAGAAAAAAAAAGAAGACTCAAATCAACAGAATTAGAAATGAAAAAGAAGTAACAGCTGACACTGCAGAAATACAAAGGATCATGAGACATTACTATAAGCAACTATATGCCAATAAAGTGGAAAACCTGGAAGAAATGGACAAATTCTTAGAAAAGCACAACCTTCCGAGACTGAACCAGGAAATAGAAAATATGAAGAGACCAATCACAAGCACTGAAATTGAAACTGTGATTAGAAATCTTCCAACAAAAAAAGCCCAGGACCAGATGGCTTCACAGGCGAATTCTATCAAACATTTAGAGAAGAGCTAACACCTATCACATGGCCATCATCAAAAAATCTACAAATTATAAATGCTGGAGAGGGTGTGGAGAAAAGGGAACCCTATTGCATTCTTGGTGGGAGTGTAAATCGATATAGCCTCTATGGAGAACAGTATGGAGGTTCCTTAAAAAATGAAAAATAGAACTACCATATGACCCAGCAATCCCACTACTGGGCATAAACCCTGAGAAAACCATCATTCACAAAGAGTCATGTACCACAATGTTCATTGCAGCTCTATTTACAATACCCAGGACATGGAAGCAACCTAAGTGTCCATCAACAGATGAATGGATAAAGAAGATGTGGCACATATATACAATGGAATATTACTCAGCCATAAAAAGAAACAAAATTGAGTTATTTGTAATGAGGTGGATGGACCTAGAGTCTGTTATACAGAGTGAAGTAAGTCAGAAAGAGAAAAACAAATACTCAATGCTAACACATATATATGGAATCAAAAAAAAATGGTTATGAAGAATCTAGGGGCAGGACAGGAATAAAGACGCAGATGTAGAGAATGGACTTGAGGACACGGGAAGGGGGAAGGTAAGCTGGGACAAAGTGAGAGAGTGACATGGACATATATACGCTACCAAATGTAAAATCAATAGCTAGTGGGAAGCAGCTGCATAGCACAGGGAGATCAGCTCAGTGCTTTGTGTCCACCTAGAGGGGTGGGATAGGGAGGGTGGGAGGGAGATGCAAGAGGGAGGGGATATGGGGATATATGTATACATAGAGCTGATTCACTCTGTTATAAAGCAGAAACTAACACACCATTGTAAAGCAATTATACTCCAATAAAGATGTTTAAAAAAAAGGTGCTATGTAGTCAAAATGCTTTAGACCTAGATCATAGACCATTATCTTTCAAATATATTATGCCTAAACCAAATGGATCTACCTGGTGTGCTGTGCCGCTGAACCACTTTGAATGAGCATGGTATTTGGACCCAAAAGGGAAACGACTGGGTTAACCCTCGTCAGAGGTACTGAAGCTTTCTCAAACTACATTCAAGAGTCAGTATCTTGAAATGCCCGCAATTCTAAAAAGATGGTTGGATCTGCAAGTGTAAGCCTAGGGTACTAAAGGTTTAACATTAGATAGGCTGAGAAATGTGTAAAACTTCTACAAGAGACCGTACTCTGAAATTATTTTGATCAAGGAAATCAGGATCACAACTGAAATAGAAATTTTTGGCATGCTATGGAAATTATGTGCATTTTACCCTTATTATCCATCATTTCATTTCATATCATATATGCAAACATACATATCTTACACACTAAGGTAACAGTCTGTATTAAAACTATTAATATGAAAATAAATCAAAAACTTTAAAATCTTAGAAAACAC